ACACCACAACCTGTGAGTCTTCCGGCCCCTGAACCTTGACATCGTGTGGCGATGGATGTTAGCATACGTGGCTTCACCTTGACGGCGTATCTATCTTAGCTATAGATGCTAATCAGTGAGTTGTCCTCGCAACAGTAACGTTTGCCATATCGCCTTCGTATATCTTACACCTGACCTGCTTGACTTTGTTATTACCTTTCGCTGGACGCTCCGTCCGGATTATCCCCTTGACATTGGCGTTAAACACAACGAACTGAGCTGCATTATGTTCTACATTTTGCTTTGATAAACTGCTTTTCAAATGTTTCCATGTGCACTACTGAGTATTTTTGTTCGGACGTTATGTTGCGCACAGATTTCTCGCGTTTTAAAGAAGTACTAAGGAAGTTGAGTATTTTCATTTGTATTCATCAGGCACTCAGTCAGACAGCCATGACACACTCACATAAACACAGAACGACCGTTAAGTCTTGCTATTACTCCGCTGAATTGGAATTCATAACTCACGTCTTTGCAACGCGTTGGCATTAGGGAGTCAACGATATGCATAACCTTCTATCAATTCCCATGCACACTATACTACCGGGCAAAGAATATGCTTGGTCCACAGTCACGACTTTTCTTGCACTATCCTTGTGTGCAGCGACTTTTTACCGGAATTCAACTACTCCGTTCTCATTTTACAATTTTCTCTTTGGGTAGTTATTACACCTTATTTCTGTACATTCAATGTATCTAAACAGTCCAGAGTAGTTAAATATCAAGCAAATACCGATCGCTTGTGCTTTCACACCGTTGCTGTTTAATATCTCCAAGCCCCACTTGGAACCTGCAATAGTATCCCCAGCTTCCAATATGCTAGCACCTCGTTCCACTCGAATGATCTTTATTGCATTAGATATGATCTCTAAACCTGCTTTCGTCCTTGTTTGAGTCCAATGGTCTATTTATATTACCTTTCACTTTTGTTTAGCCCGGTTTCACCTTTTGTCGTGCATCATGCACCATAAGGTGCCCAGCATTTTCCATCACTTCTGTTTGTTCTTGTTATCGCGTTTTTGATGTGATGCGCGCGAACTTGCGGGACGCTGCCGCAGTTTCTGTTACACTGTGAGCAGGACTTTATATTAGCTGATGTCATTTGATCATTTCTTTTCTGACTATGCTTGCTATCCACCTGTCTGTGTTTATCAGTTGTCCTGGTTCCGTGATGTTCCTGTTTCATTTGAAACGGGCGAATCAGTTCATCCTGCACACAGGAGACTTCAGGTTTGAACCAAGCATGCTCAATTCTTCCAGTCCTCTGGCTACCTTTCTACCTGCTTTACCTACTGACAATGGTTCACTCTCAATCCTCAATGCAGTTTACCTAGATACAACGTAAGTCATACAGAACGCGGTATCTTTGTAGTAACTTCCTTTCTTCTGCTACATTTAGTATTGAGGATTGTGAAATTGTTTACTTGACTGAATCATCTCTAAATTCCTAAGCAAAGCAATTGGACCCACCAGGAAGTCATTCGCGATCCACTTGTTCCATAATTTGCTAGTTAGCATTTGCCTCAGTTTTTGTTATTGAAGCCATCTACTTACTTACCACTCCGGCCTGCTAGGTTGCACGTGCTGGTGTATCATTCATTGGTTGCACGTTGTTTCACTCCATATTTTGGTGTCAACTTCGTCTATTCATCTGTGCACCCTTCCCAGTTTCTTAGCACACCCGTACACAATACACAAATTAGAGCTCCTCGGGGTGTCTCAGACTCTACGGGGAATTTTCGAACACCTTTCGCTGGAGCTGTTCGACTTCTGCATTTCTACTCCATCTACCCTACACTCCATCACACACTGCTTCCTTGTGAGTCTAACCATACACACTTTAAGATTCTACTTGAGGAGAACTGGCTTATCTGTCTTGCACAAGCTATACAGTAGTGTGATTTCCTACTTTGGAATGCGCTTTACATCTCCAGAGTGAAAAGTGCAGTTGCAGAACTACCAGTTGCATGTGCCAGCATTTCAACCCCTTGTAGTGGTAAGCATATCTAAAGATAGTTGATCAAGTCATGTTTGTGGTAGTTGCATTAACAGTCTTGAGTATGCTACTACTGAGCCTAATTCACATCTTGTGATGACTAGAACTGGTATTTTGAATCTATAACATCGGCCGGTTCCCGAAAGGATTGCACACTAGCGTTGTAACGCTAAAGCCACTAGCGTAGATGTGAGACACCTTACTTTATACTCGGCCCCAGTACGACTGGTGGCGGCCACGTGGCAGTGTAGCGTCAGTACAGTGTATTGGCATCATCAGTACGCCGGTAAGCAGTACCGACGCTTCGCTGCCACGCAACCATCACTAGTCGCGTGTACGCTAAGGATACTGCGGGGGTCGCCTGGTCATCTACACAGACTCGAACCCGTGACCTCCAGGTTACAAGGTGTGCTTGTAATCTCTTAGGCCACGGGCCGTACTGCTGATTGATTCTCCATTTCCCATTATTTGCATAGTTGTGGTCTTATGACACTAAGGCGTTAGTGTAACTTATTGGGGTCCTGCTATCGATACGCATTGATAGTTTGTAACTAGTAGCGGGATTTATTAGTTTTTTGTGTATGTTCGTCACAGTTAGACACAGGTAGACAGCTACCACACATCCAGGAAAGCGCTAGACGGCCGTTTCGTCCTATTGGGACTCATCAGTAACGCGCACCCGCCGAACCCTGCCGGATTCGAACCCGCGAACTTACTCTTGCAAGTCAGCGACTTATGTCACTGATCCATGGGTGACGGCAGCGGACCGCCATGACTGATATCTAACTGCGCTGCTTATCCTCCACTGTCTTGCATGTCCTGAATGTGCAGTTGACAGGGCTGGCCCCCAGAGCAACTATTCGCAAGAGTAAGGTCGTGGGTCCGAATCCGGTAGGATTCGGCAGGTGCGCGCTACTGACGAGATCCAATAGGACCTAACGGCCGTCTAGCGCTTTCCTGGATGAGTGGTGGCTGTCTACCTGTGTCTAACTGCGACGAACTTACACAGAAACCTACTGATAGCTTACCCCAACCTAGTCGTCGCTAGATAAACCAAATTGAATATCAATCCTGTTCAAGAAAAAACTTCGTTGGGTCCGTTGTTTGATTTTTCCGGCCTGTTATGCTGCATTTACGCACCCACGGCATCCGATTTATGGGGGATGAAAATGCTCGCGAGCGTAAGAACACGACCTCATTAACTATGATCGTAGGGCATGTGATGTGACCTTGTGCATGCTTCTGTGGCGAAACATTACTAGGCACACATTTTAACGATGAGACATCCTCTTCGCCCACACTACCACTGGGTTCATTAGCACGTAGTCGAGGAAATGACGGTGGAAGAGTCATGTGAATGCTCAACCTCCGTCAAAATGTTTCTTTCCATCCCGTGAACCGAGACCAGTTGTTCTCACCTATGCTGAGCAGTTTTCACTGTCCTGATGCCAGCTTCCTCTACATGACGCTTAAGCAAACGTCACACTGACAAGCCAGATTTCAACCTATCAGACTCTCTTCTGTAGCTGTCTAAGAACAGCGTACTCGCTTGATGGAGCAATCACATCGACACATGCCGCCTGGTCTCTACCGGCGTACCACAAGAAGTATAAGAGTGCAGCACATTATCCGTGCTCTTCCACACTATGCGATCTTATGTGCACTGTGCATGTCCAACGAACGGTGGGAAGTGACTCTCTCTCTATGTCCTACTGCCGAACGATAGTAACGGACGCTTCTGTACTGTCTAACCAGACATTATGCTATCAGCTCACTGTGACAGTTTTGTTGCATACTGCTTTTCAATCGACGAATCATATGCTATGGGTTTTGTACACCACCTAGTGTTGAGCCTAAACATGTAGTTTACGGTTTCTTTAACTGTTCTCGGGACTTAGAACGGTATGCGAACGAGGCCTAATAAACGACCCGACCTGAACCTAGCGTAAATTTAGCACTTATCAGCGCGAGGACATGAGGGATAAAAGGTGGACAGAAACACGGATAAACCTACTAAGAAACGAATCAAAGCACTCATTATCGCTGGGTGGAGGAATGGACAGATCAGAACACTGGATCGAATGAAAGAGTATCACCAAGTTGTTAACTGCCTTTTTGGTACTGATTGGAAATCGCCAAGGATGATCGCTCCGTTCACACGCTTCAAACTAGCTCCAGGAGCCCAATGCAAGATGTCCGACTTTAAAGTAGGAGAACATACTAACTGCTGACAATCGCCCAACTGAAAGGGGTACCGCTTGGGGAGTTCAAAAGTGCATCGACTGAAAAGGAAAAGAGAACGATCGATAGCGGTGTTCCATAGCGAATAAATCAACGAGAAGCGGACTGACTTGTTCTTAGTAAGTGGCGGCGATTGACAGTAACCTTTATGTCCGACTGTGTGACACCGTCAGCAGCAGTGTTGTCTAAACAGGCGGAACCTGTGGTAATGCCAAGAACCACAGTAGGGACAAGCTGTAGTGGGCTTCTTTGGATTGACCTGGCTAGCATTTGATGGCTGTGATGATAACTTCTGCTTAGATTGAGTAGCAGCGATCATGGAAGCAGAGCCAGACGTCCTGTCTGTCTGCTGAATCATGTCAGAATCGTGCTTTGCGTTGATAAGCCGTTCGCATTCGTGCACTAATTGTGCCAGTGTGATGTCCGGTTCCAACTCGATCTTAGCCATTAATTGGTTCAGAGATCTGCATCACATGATGACTGGGGACCACACACAAAAATCAAGCACCGGTATTGATCTTCTGTATGACATCTGAGCTTGAACCGACCGCACTCAAGATCGGCGAGAGCAGTGTATATGACAAAGTCGTCGGCGTCCCTCTTGACTATTTGGGGACACGGGAACCAAGTATTAAGCAAAGATGAAGTGTCTCCAAAAATCGACGTCACTGTGTACACCGTCTCGTTGAAGCTGCGTAACAGCGGTTCGGCATGGAAGATGGATGATAACGGGCATGTTCCGCTGGGCCCACTTTTCATAGAAGTAGCCGAACTTTGGTATCATCATCTCGGTTGGCCATTTCAATCCAGAAATCCTCGTGTCGCTTTGCTTGATTCGAACGTCACGCCAGCTTACGGATCATACTGGAAGTCTGCGATGTTTTTTTGCTTCTTGGTCCACGGACAGTAATCCTGCGAAAGAAGAAGGCGACCACAAAGTGGCGATTTTTGAGACCAACATTTCCATAAGCTTGATCTGACCTTACGTCATCTGCTTCAAATCAGCATCGGCGGGCGTTGTTGGGGAGAGAAAATCAACACCTCCGTCGCCACACTTTGCACTAGTTCCAAAAGCCCAAATTAAACAAATCATGGCAAGAAAAGGAACCCAACGACTGGCACCCTTCTAGCTGAAAGCGGTACAGATTGGGGAGTTTAGAGGTGCACCGGCTGAAACGGAAAAGAACGATCGATAGCGTAGTGTCCCTTAGCGATTAAATCAACAGGTCGCAAAAAGGAAACCGTTTCACAGGGCAATGAAAACGGCGCCAACGAAGAAAAAACGCGCATTGTCTTACTTCTCATAAATTAGTCTCAAAAAACGCCTTTCTGGCCCGATTCTCCGGCTTTTGATGTGGGAATCCCGTCACCTATTCATCGTCCCTTCCAAACCTTTAAACGTTCCCTTACGATTCTACCACATCATCAATTATCCATCCAACAGAAACGGCATACAGTACGTGCCGGGGTGCTAGTAAGGTGGGCAGGTGGTGAGCGTAATCCACGCAGCATAGGAAGTGCACGTTCGACGGAATGTTCGGCGCATTGATAGGTTTATTACCAACAACTAGGTCGTCTCGCCACGTACAGGCTATGCTGCTTAGACATCTGTGGTTAAACCAACCGGAACCCCGGTGTCCTCAACTTACATTATCCATGCCTCTGCTCTGCACATTTGAACTGGTTACATTACATCATTATGCACTCTCTTGGCACATACAACAATGTGTCACCATCTCCACAGATATTTGAATCATGACGGGTCACGTGATGGTATGCTTTGGGACTTACCCATGAGAAGTGATGCATCCACTTGGTTCTGTGGGCACATCGAACATTTATCGTGTTTATCCGATGAGTGTGAGAGTCGAACGTGTGTCTTTTCGGATGCTGTAGTAGCGTGTTTCACTTTGAGGCCACGAACCACATGCCGAAACACGTAGTGCTGCGCATCGTTCTTGGCAAGCTCTTGCATATCGGTTGGATCCGATCTCAAGAGGATTTGTCTTCCGCAAACTCTGTCAGTTTGTCTCTTTTCTGTGGTTTACGCAAGAAAAGCAACCACTCAAAAGTTAACTGTAAATCTGGTGATTAAACATTTGGCACTTTTCGTAATATACCCAGCAGATGGCTTCCCTTAAACTCTTGAAAGGACCCATGCCTCTTGAAATCCACTAGTTTCAAACGCAGATTCATCACTTTATTAACCCAAGATAACTCGTCACACTCTCCTTTTGCAGCAATTCGTTTTATTTATTTTCTGTTTAATTACCTGATCGACTGTTGGTTTTATGTGCCAAACCTGGTTTCACAATCGCCTTAACTACGATTGTTATTCTTCCTTTCTTTTCAGATACTTATCTCCACAATACGACTTTCCCACTCAGCATTCGGTCATCTCGAGTGCAGTAGAAATCACCCGAAACCAGCTATCTAAAGATCCATCGACCATGGTCGTTTGTGGAATGTATTCCATCGGAAAGGAACGTTTTGTGTACGGTGAGTAGTCGACAGGACACCTACTATCGGTTGGCTGGCTTAGAGCGTCATGTACCATTTTTTCTTCCTCTTACTTAGCGAGGAGCACGTTTTAAGATAACTACAAACCGTTTCACCCGCCTGCGAGTGATACAGTGGTGCTAGTGAGCTGGGCAGTGGGATTGCTTATCGTTATCATATTAGGCCACTTAGTGAAGAAATCCACTGCAATCAGCTGAAACTGACTGTTGTTTCATCACCATTATCATCAATCCTCATCATCAAGGTGAAAATCACTTCAGCAACTGTGTCGCAATACATAAGGGTAAAATATACGAAAAAGCGACATAATAAACATCATGGAATACAAGAGGCAACGCACTGCTTATTACCCTTTTGTGCTTCAAGAAGGAAATCATGCTTGTAGTGGAAGATAAGCTGGATGAGGATGAACAACGTGACGCACATTACAAACGCCACTGCGGTCAGCCCCTTGCCATGTCAACTATTGAATCTAAACAGACCTCTTCATTGTCTTTCGGTCTCTAGTCCGGCAGCTGGAAACAACCAACCGACAGAAGTGAGGGTTTTCATTCCTCTTGACCAATTCATCTCTTGGCCCATTTTCTTCTTCCATCCACACCTGCGCCGCACAAACATCATCATCAACAGCAGTACATCAGCCATTTGAACTGATGCTTCACTGCCATACAACCATACCGACCTACAGAACAACGTTAATACCCTAAGCTAACATTCAGGGTCAAGGCAGCTACACATTGTCAGTAATATATCATCACAAACAGCTGGCTATCTTGTAAATAACGCATGGCGCAGGTGTTGGTGTGTTGGCGTGCGCAACACGTGGCGCAACCATCGGAGTCTGTTTGGTCCCGCGTAGTCCAAGTGGATTATTTGCCAGGGCTTCTCTGTCCCAGGCCATGGTTACCACAAACATTTAGGTGATCCTTCACCACCTGTTGACAAGGCTCACGTTTATGACAAAACCCAGGTTTCCCAGTGCACCTATAGTTGATAAACCAAACTGCGTGCTTTATCTTTCATTTGGCCGGTTCCGGGATTTCCCGAATGAAACTACTATGGAGTTCACTTCTGCAACTTCTTTGGTACAACGGCTCGATCTCCGAACACTAGATACTTGTCCGCGATTAAAAGAGACGATTATTAATGGTCGTGGCCAATATGACTGTACAAACTGAATCGTTTTCAAGAATGCCCAAAGTAATAATAATAATATAGTTTTTTCTCGCTTTCTCCAGACGTGACCTTTCCGGCATGATCAGGATTTCGCAATAATGTTACGGCATTGTAGCCACTTATGGGAACGAATGCATTAAAGTAGAGCAAGAGCTGCAGCAACTTTTATAGAAAACGAAACAGTCAGAGATCCAATTAAAGTAATACAGCCATTCGTGGGACCGTCCTTATTACTTTTGTATCAGCAGTTACTGGCAGTTCCTTCACATTTTCAACCAGGATTCGCTATACTTCTGATCCGAATCCTATGTCTACGATCAGGCGGTCATCGTTTTCCTTCGAGTGCGAATTTATGAGATGAAACGACATCCGCTTGACCGGTTTGCTGCATAGATCCGTGTTGCATTCTGAAGTTAGTATTATGATGACTCATTTTTGTAACCGATTCGTAGTAACGATAAGATTTTCTTTCTTGCATCCAGATATCGAGAGTGGGGGTTTATGACCACAAACTTGAATCTTCCCGTCAGTTCACACCATTTTGATCATGCTTGATTATGCCTCGAAACATTCGAGAATAAAATTTTTATTTTATTAAAGATAATTCAACACCGTCCATTCTCAGTCAGCAGGCTTTGGTAAGTCTGGAAAAGCACCACAGCGTTGTTTCTACCTTCTGCGTCTCCTTAGTGGTGCGCCTTCCATCGGGCCCCTGTCAGGTTCCGACCCCATGACTTCCGGATGCCAGCAGTTAGGGCAAATAAGCTATGGGTGCCTGCCGCGGATCTGCACGATTGACAGTTGACTATGATCTAGCCCACCTCATCTTTCACTGTCATGTCAGTTACGAACTATGCAGCGGATAGCGGTTAGCACCACTATCTATTTATTTATTTATTCCAACAGCCTATCATGTTTATACGTTACTTTGGATTCTTGTCATATTCGTATAGGAAAGCTCGTACAGACCAGTTTCACACTAAATCGATCTCGGTAGATTCGTTCACTCGGGTATTCAAGTCCTATCGCTTCCACTTAGGTAACTGGCTCCACAGTCACACGAATTAGTATTTGCAGTGTGGTTAGGCCCACATAGGCTTGTCTTCCTACGTGTGATGTACCGGCAAATTTATGGTTCGTGCAGCGTAATGGCTACTGCGCTTACCCGTGATCACACACCTAGTTGTCTTCAACATCTTCACCTTTGTATGCTAACTCGAAGTAAACCTTTTCTGGCTGCCGTGTGCACAAAGTTTTTCGGCTCTAGCAGTTGGCCGAAATGCATGCAGTTTTCGTCTTCTTCCATATCATCTGAATTGGTTTCAATAGATTTGTTTGACACAGTGTGGTGTTCGCGATTGACATCTGCTTTTACTTGCATTCTTGGCACCAATTGGATCAATTAACAACTGGAGTTATTTGCTCTTTTCTTGGGTCTTGAGTCTTTTTTTTCTTAGCTAGTGGATACGGTGCCAACCGGCGTGATTAGGGGCATACATTGCTTCTTTGTGAGCGCATTCTTCCCATCTCATTGATATCGCTCTCATGGCATGGTTTCACTGCTGAGCATCAGCTGTCCTACACTATGGATATTGTTAGCTTGAGGCAGAAATATGTTAACGTTTCCAGCCTTGATTTTGTGTTTATTTCGACCGTCAATATGGTTGCCTCACACTGCCTTCGTCGCCATTCTCAGCGTACAACACGCCACAGCGACTAAGTTTTCATCGACTCGTTAAGGTCTACCGGATTGCCAAATACTGCATGACGGATTATGATTCGTGTTCGAATGACCTCGTGACGTCGCCAGTAAATTGTGAACTGGCATTGCTCGCGCTTCGTTCTGTTATCGCTTACATTTCGACAAACTACTTAAACCAATTAGTAGTGTGTATTTTTTCTAAATTCGTTATCGCTGGTCCATCGTTGACCTCAATTGCCTGGCGTGTTAGTACCTGCATGGTTTCACGCTTAACAATTTATTGATTGCAGCTGGTTTTTGCTCTACTACTTAAACGCTGATATGTTAGAATTGCGTCAACTGCGATAAGTACACATTTTCTTGCGCGATAACTGAACTGCATTGGCCATCCATGAGTGTGAAAGATGCGCCACGCAAGTCAGATTACATCAGCTCGTGTACAAACATTGAGGCACACAAGTGAACATTGTATGATCGCAGGGATATTGGCTGAAGTCAATTGCGTCACTTTAATGCAATGCTTCTTTTTCACGATGGATATGAAATACGCGCCTGAGTCACGCAATGGTTCGTAACCCGTAAACGGACCAGCCGAAATAATTATTTCCCTGTTCATTAGCTGAAGCCATTGTGTGTGTTAGGCTGTTCGCATCTGTATTTTATGAATTTGCCAACCTTCGATCGAGAATGCCCTTTTCCTACAGGCCTCTAATTCCAGCCAAAGGTTTGGTTCATCAACCTTATTGCAAATGCGTTTGCAAGAACAGCTACCGAAATAGCACAAGTAGTATGAATATTTACGCATATTGATGAATCAGTAGATCTTTTATTTCTCGTCGCTACGAGACTGTTCACACATAGGGCAAGATCAAAATATTTACCGATTTTTTCACTAAACCGCCTTTACATATTGGATGGGAATATGCATTCTGTTATCTTCATGACAGTTTCACACATGCTCGTTGTTCAGGGTGAAGTGCAGAAAAATGTGCCGGGGTTGGATCCTTCGTTAACTGGTGTGCTATCGGTCTGAACCAGCACAGTCTGACCAGAAGGCGGAAAAGGGACTTCAGTAGCCAAGTCAATCTTTCAAATTGCCGCTGACGCACAATCTAACTTCATCAATCGATTGAAACATGTTCAGAAGTCCCGATTCATTATGGACTCGGGGAAGGAATAAAATAACGATAGTATCAAGTATGGAATGTTAATCAGTAAAATAACAAGCGTAGATGTCTGGCAAAGAATAATCCAAAAATGTAGACATACTTTGTAACGAATACATAAAGTTTGGCAGGCGTCGTTGTAATTTCCTTGATAGTTGATATGGGACACCTAGATCGGGAATCATGCCGAAAGCCTTATCCAGTGAGAAAGATACCTCAGAATGAAAAGGAAGTTTTTAGTAGCAACAGATTCTAGCGCTAGGTACAATGAAAGCGAAAGGTGCATCATTTGGTAAATGGCAACCTGTCACTGTGACGCAAATATAATAGCAAAAGCGACATTGATGATGGCGAATGATAATTTCTAACTTCCAAATAAGACAATGAGAAGACTGGTATTGCGAGATGGAACCATTTCGTGTTATCTGCCCACTCGTAAACTAACAACATAACTATGAATCACGTGACAGAAAAATCGAAGTTTTGAAACTGTTCCTTGATGATTAATTGGGAATTTTTCAGTTACTGAATTCACGAAGAAAAATTACGTAGAGGCAAGAATAACAGATCAATGAGCTTGCTCTTAAAGTCATGAACCCATGGAAGCTTTAGGGAGACTGTTAATTGTTTCCGTACACAAAGGATAGGGTGATGCCGGTTAAGAGCCACAGCTTCCGCGAACCTTAAAACTTTAAGGTTTTCATTTCGATAGATAACTGTAAATGTTGACCCAAGGTCAACCTGATGGCCTGTTTCGTTTAGATGTCTGGCGATAGATAATGCCGGCTTCTTAGATACCTTTTCTTGTTCGGCTGCTTGTTGTGTCGATATTTTCGCAATCCGTTCTGGGATATGCTCTTCAATGATCTTACCCAAGAATCGATCTGTTCTGTCAATGTAACTACTTCTGCAGTTCCAAACAAATTGGTAAATACAATGCGTTGTGGTGGAGATCGGTTGAGTAAGCTTCACTGGAGGCATAGGCAACTTCCTAGTCAAACTAAGTCTAAGACGTCCGGCATAGCACAATAGTAATATTTAGTACAACTTGCATCGATGTGTGCCTAAGAAGCATGGAATTTTACAAGCTCACATGAGCACATACTTCTGAAATCGTAGAAAACAGGCTGCAAGATTTAACGTCATGACTATATCTTCTGTATCTGAGGTGAATCATGTTCACAGCCACAGTACACAAACAATGAACACGTCTGGCTGGATACACTTGCTGACATGGCAAGGAGCCGACCTCAGTGGCGTTCCCGCTGTGAGTTTCTTTGTCCCTCCCCATGCCTCTTAGCCTCCTTCTCCACCTACGATCTTATTTCATAGCGTACAACATAATAATTTTTTTCTTTTTGCCTAATAGCCGACCGGTAGCTTACCGGAACAATGCCTATCCATTGATGGTAGCTCAGCTGGCGTGCAACTTTTGTAATTATTTTCCTTTGTCATTTATGTATTGCGGCACAGTAGCTGAGGTGTTTCCCACCTCTAGCTGACGTGTATAATAATAATATAATAATGTTGCCAAGAGCAGCGGCAACTTCCATCTCTGGTGCACGATGAGTCCACCAGGATTCGCGGTCTCTCTTCAGGCTAGCATGAAGTCTTGCCCAGAACTCTTTGCGGGTTTCATTGTGTTCGCTTCCAGCCGGGATATACCGGTGAGCAT